CAAAAAATAAATAAGAAAGGAAATGGTGTAATAAATAACTTTTATTACAAATTTTCTCAAACTTCCCCTAGTAAAAATAAATATTTCCATGAATACTTTCTCCCCCCAGCAAATTGGCCCGAACTACTTGCCCCATTTCCCGCACATTGTCACGCTTTTCCCGATTTATTTTCCTCTGTGACATTTTCAGCGCAGTTAGCTGTTAAGTAAATTGTTGAAACGCATGCAGCTATCATAACTTGAATTCCACTGAGAGAGAGAGGGTTCCTTGCAGGACAAACTTTGCCAAGAGGAAGCGACAGTTGATTTAACACAAAGTCACAGACACACACACACACACACGGCCTGCACCTGTCGTCAAAAGTTGCATAAGTCATGAAAGCCAAGGAAAATGGGGGAAAAAGGCCAGAGAAAACCCGGACCAACCTGCATTAAAAATGTCAACTCGAGTGATTCTCTTTCTCTCTCTGGGAGATTCTAAATCCGAACATCCTCGAACTGCAGATTTATGTGAGCTAATTAAATTTAATGCGCTTTGTGTGCTCGCTCTTTAATTTTTGATCAACTTTTTGGTGCAGGGAGAGCGGCCTTTCAATTTAAGAAAAAGTTACAGTCCGGAAAGGAAGGAAGGCGAGCTGGGAAAAGTTTATAGGCTTGTTAGGGAAAAGTTTCGCTGTGTGGCGTTTATTTTCGGCAACTGCCAACGCAGAGCAGAGCAGAGCAGGACTTGGGGCAGGACTACACGCAGCCAGCAACAAATGAAATGAAAACGTGTCAATTTACTTTCTGACAGGCCAGACACAGAAACAAAAAACCCCTCCAGAAGATCGTTGAATTTTGGTCTCTCTCTCGATTTAATTTCCAATTAATTTGTGAGGTCTTGAGGCTCTAAGTCTCAGCTGCAGCTTAAAGTTTTGTCTTTTTTGCAATTGATTTGACTTTGTCTGTTTATGATCGCAACCCTTCACGGTCTTATTTATTATTTCGCTTTTATATACACATACATTTCTTTGTGGCTTTGGATTTGCGGTCCCTTCTCACATTTTTTTTATGGCCATTTGACTCGCTTTTATTGTCACTCGGCCGAGGAGTGGGGTATAGCTGGTAACTGGGAGTCACTTGGCCACTTTTGGAGTTGTCTTTCGGCATCATAAATTGCGCCACGTCGGCCATTTTGCGGCTTGCTGAGACATTAATTTGATGCCATTGCTAAAATGGCCTGCTCACCGCGTTTCCGTTTCCGCTCTCGTTTCCTTTTTGAGAACATAATTTATTTGCCATTATGGAAACTTCACTCCCTGTTGATTGGAAACTTGTAACCCATATGGTTATATATATATACTTTTCAATTTCAGGCGAGGCGGCAGAGCATAATTCCAAGTGCAGCTCAAGTTATGGCACAGCCAAAGGAGCAGCATCTTGTATATATGTTTGTGTGTGTGTTTGCGTGTGAAGGACGCAGGAAAATGCCAAACGCAAATGTCGCCAATATCCCAATGGCAATCGATGAAAATTTATAGAAAATTGCGCACAAATAAAATTTTACGTTTGTTTGCTTTTTTCATTTACGATGCCGGCTAGCTGAGCGGAAAAGTGAGAGAGAGATCTACCTCTCTCTCTCGCTGGCTAGCTGCCTTCTTAACCTGTTTTCCTTGGCCTGGCGGAAAATGCTTTTCCTTTTGGCTTGACTTCTGCTCGTCAACGTGTTTTCCTCAGAGCTGCAGCAAAAGCGATTTGCATTGTTGTTCCCCAGCCAGCGGGTGGGAATCCAATCCCATTGCTGTTAATGTTTACGATTGTCGTTTTCAATTTCAGTTAATTGAAACAAGGACTACGCCGCAGTACATTACATTAAGGGATTCGACACACACAAGGTCTCTTAGTAAACATGACAAAAATTTAGTCTTCTTTTTCCAAGTTTTTGTATATTTTTCTATACTTTTTCTGGCATTTTCTTTATTCTCTTTGCGCTGAAAATTATACTACAGTATTTTACTTGGCTTAAGGAGAAGTGAGTTTTTAGAGAGCATTTTATTTGCAGCTTCTGGCCATGTGAGCATCAGGTTTCCGGAAATGTCCAGTTGGCAAAATAAAAATCTATCCCGCTTTAAATGGATTGAAGTTTAGGGTGTCTTCTGCCTGGGGTACCACACCGCTCAATAAGTTCCCGGCCTAAGAAGGAAAAACACATTTTTTTCTGAAAATTTAGTTTTATTCATCAATTTAGTTTTCATCTACGGCTACACACTCAGTCCAGCGCTTCTCCAACCTTTCGATGCCATTTTTGGAGAAGGCTGAACTTTTGCCCTTAAAATAGGCCTCAGTATCGGCAATCGCCTCCTCATTTTTTCGATATCTCTTGCCTTGGAGGTGCTTTTTGAGATCTGAAAAAAGCCAGTAGTCGCTGGGGGCCAAATCTGGAGAAGGGAGTGCGGTCGGCAGTAGTTCGAATCTCAATTCGCTCAATTTCATCATTGTTGCCACAGACTTGTGGCACGGTGCATTATCCAGTGAAACAGCGGTTTCTTCTTTGCTATATGTGGACGTTTTTTTTCTTGATAGCTTGGTCCAGTCGATCCAGCAGCTTTATATAATATTCGCTGTTGATTGTTTTACCTTTCTCCAGGTAGTCTATAAACAAAATCTCATATGCATCCCAAAATACGGACGCCATAACCTTACCCGCCGATATTTGTGTTTTGGGACGCTTCGGACGGCTTTCACCAAATACCACCCACTCAGAAGATTGTTGACTGGATTCTGTAGTGTAGTAGTGTATCCATGTTTCGTCCATTGTTAAGTAACGGCGAAAAAAATCGGTCCCATTGCGCTTCAACATGCTTAAAAACGTCTCGGAATCATCAATGCGTTGTTGCTTTTGGTCCGGTGTTAGCAATCGCGGCACCCACTTTGAGCAGAGCTTTCTCATATCCAAATATTCATGGAATATCGCGAACACACTGCCTTCTGATATCTTTGATGCATTAGCTATCTCTTTTAATTTAAATTTGCGTTCGGCCAATACAATTTTTTGGATTTTGGCGATATTTTCTGGCGTAACTGCTGTTTTTGGGCGACCGCTAGGGTCAGCGTCTTCGGTGTCCACACGACAACGTTTAAATTCATTGTACCAGTCCTTGATGGTTGATTTTCCTGGAGAAGATTCCGGGTAATGCTTATCAAGCCAAATTTTGGCTTCTACCGTATTTTTTCCAATCAAAAAACAGTGTTTAATGAGGACACGAAATTCTTTTTTTTCCATATTGTAGAAAAACTCAAAGGTTGTTTCACTTTAAAATTTATAACTTGAAAACACGTGGTCGCAGAGTTGTAAAATTTGTACACAAAGCTTATGATAAAAGACACTATCAATAAAAAATATCGATGTTTGGTTACTACTGCCCCGTATATGTCAGGCCGGGAACTTATTGAGTGGTGTGGTATACACTGCCATCCCCCTAAGGTTCGGATTTCGCAGCGTACTCTGTAATTAGGTGAAACTTTAAGTTTTCAGCAAAAGCCCAGGGGAATTATAACCAAGCCAACGGGGCAAGTGAAAATCATTTTGGCAGTGAGAAAAATATGGGAATAAAATTAGGAGATTTTATGTAATTTTTTTTTTTTTTTGTAAGATATCTCTTGTATTATATATTAAGATATTAATATATCGAATTTTTAAAAAAATTGTATCTTTAAAATGTATTTTTTAAGAAATATATATATTTTTCTTATCACATTTTTTATTTAAGAAGTTTATAAGTTACTAGTAATTTTTTTATTTTTATTATGTACGAAAAAAAAACAAATAATGAATATTTAAAATGAAATTGGTAACTTAACTTTATTTTTTTCAGTGCCTTGTTGTTTGTTAACATTTTTTTTTTGTTTTAATTTCATTTTTCTTTTTTTTTTCGTTTTTATTTTTATTCTGTTTCTGCTGCATAAACAAAGAAATTGTTCTGCCGCTAATTAACTCAATTTAAAATTAAACAACTTTAAACTCGATTCATTTGGGCCAGAGCTCCGGAGCTGGCCTGGCTGTTGACCGCATGTTATTGAATGGCCGGCAAGTGTTGGCCGGAATTGCTAATTGCGGCCAGGTCCAATTGAGTAACAAAGCAGCCGCAGCATCCTGGTCACACATCGACATGGACAGATAACACACACATATCCGCAACCCGTGGCAAAACGCATTCCTGGTCACCAAACAGACTCTCGGAATAGTGGCAAAGCCACCACCACTCACAGGGGCAGCCCTAAGGGCTAAGCGGAGAGTGTCTGACACAAAAATTGCATAAAAATAAGTGGTATCTGATAGCAAACGAGGGAAGCGGTGCGAATTTTCCACATCATTAGATGGCCAGCTGGGGAGTTGCCCTGCATATTCATCACACGCCATATTAATCAAGCTGAATTCCCGCACTTCTCCGCACAAAAATCACAAAAGTGCCATGGATGCGTGAAAGGGTAAATCGCCAGGACGAGAGTTGTAGAGGAGCCTTTATGAATGAGCCAAGGAGGAGCTTTCACTAGCCGGCAAAAGCTGGAGCAGAGTAGTAAAAGAAAAACGTTGTTTACCCAGGTTATTTTTGGACTGACTTCCAGGAAAAGCTCTGCCAGGAAAATACTGGTAACAGTTGAGCAGAAATTATGGCGAAAAAAAGCTTAGGAAAATAGGTTGTGAACAAGAAAAGCTTTAATTGGGCAAAGAATTGGATTGGAACCTTAATTGTAAAAGCTTTTACTTAACAATTTAAGTAAGCTAAGGTAAAGTAAATATAACAAAAACAATTTAATTTAAATAATATATTTATTCTTCTAAGAATTTAAGGGATATTAAGTTGTGAATTCAATAAATTTAAACCCAATGATTACCTCTATTTTTTTTCTTTTTTAGTTTCTAATAAAAAAAAGGATTAATTTCTTTTTACTACATTTATTTAAAGCTTTAAAAATGTTATAGAAATTAAATAATATTTATTTTTTCCCAGAAATACATTCAAACATATATTTTAAATCATAAAACTAATCTTAAATAATAAATGCAGCATTCAAATAAAGGCTTAAACCTTCTTTCCTTGACTTTTAAAATAAGAAAATGTTTTAATCTATTTAAAAATAGTTTTTAAAACAGTTTTTCTGTTCAAAAATTCTTTCTTATATAAATAAAAATTAAGTTTATGAGGAAAGCATACAAAAGACGAGGCACTCAGGTTAGCTATAGATACGTTTAGACAATCACATGCATATGGGAATATACGGCACATAAAAATAGATAACAGATAGGCACAGATAGCACATACATATATTAAAACTTGGAGATACGGTATGGTATGGTGGAACCTTAAGGAACCTTCTTGAACTTGAGCAGGCACTCGTAGAGGGTCAGTTGCTTGGTCTCCGGCAGCAGCATAAACACCGTCAGCCCCACCACAAAGCTCAAGCCTCCGATTGTGAAGAAAAACACCGACACGGTGATGCAGTGCTGGAAGGTGGCCAGCAGCAGGCCCAGCTGGAGGAGTTGCTCCAGGATCAGAACTCCAGCCAGGCAACGGGCCTTGTGAGCAATACTAAAGGCCTCCGAAGTGTAGACCAGAGCGGGTATTGCCACGCCCCCGGCCACTATGACCTCAAAGAGAAGCATCAGAAGGGCTATGGCCTGCAGATTGATGTCGTAGAAGGTCTTCTTCACGGACTCTAGATGCTCAAAGACCCCGCCCACCATCACGATCACAATGCCAGCGAGGAAAAGGGACAAAGAGCAGAGTTTACTTCGACCCTGCCAGTCCACGACAAAGGCTCCGACCACACTGCCAAAGAGTCCCGCGAAGGCCAGCCAGTACAGGCAGTTCATATCGCACTCCAATCCATGCCAGCTGACCACCAGGAAGGCCCGATTGTAGCTTAGGGAAATGGCCATAGTGGCGAAGCAACGCAGCAACAGGACCTTGAGAAAGGGCAGCACACGCCGGGCCCATGGTCGCCAGCCCGCTTCCGACTCCTCGGGCTCCTCCACAAAACGCTCCCAGTCCCGGGCACTATGCAGCTGCCGGCAATCCTCCCTTAACCTTACCAGCTCCGTGGAAGATTGTCCATGAAGAGCCTTCAGGGTCTCGCCCACAGCCATGTCTCTCTCCTGGTGCAGTAGAAGCAGCGGTGACTCTAGCCTATGGGATAGGGCTAGGAAAACAGCTCCAAGACCCAGACCAGCCAAGGCTACGCCGTGTAGTTGATCCACCTGCAAGCCGTATCCCTGCGACTCCAGTGGCTCCAGGTTGCGCCAAACTCGGGTGTAGAACACCTGAACGCAGACGCCTAGCCATAAGAAGATGCGCTCACAGCTGACCAGCATTCCACGAATGGACTTGTGAGCCACTTCTGAGCCTGTGATGAGAGCCTGGATCTGGGTGAGGCCATAGGCTGCACCTATGCCCACGCTGCTGTAGCAGGCGGCCAGAAAGTGTTGGGGAAGAGAAGTCACAGTCAGAATGCCGGCCAGGATGAGCAGAAAGCCACTGGAAATCTGAAAAGGGAAGAGAGGTTGTAAGGAGATACAACTTAAAGAATATTTATAGTTACTCTGAGAGCCTTTAATTAATTTTTAATTAAATTTTTCCACTCCCACATTCACTTGGTAAAAACCCCGCAATCGATCGATCAGCCCTCGCTTACCGCTTAGCGCCTATCGCCACTTAATGGCCAATGCAGGTTGAGCGCGATCGCCTTATCAGTTTATTGGATTGATAAGTCCCCTCTAATGGCTAAGTGCTAATGGCTGCAGTATCAACTAGTGGGAGTTTTTTTTTTTTTTCAGTTGAAATCACGGCAGGATAACACAAAAAATGAATTAATCTTTGTCACTAACAATGACAAGCAAAATAGCTCAACTTTGGCATTAAATAAGATGTTAAAGAGTGGGCAAATAAGCTAATAATATTTATAAGATAATTTTAATATAAATTAAACTTACATAAGCCACATTCTTGGTGACCCTTTGGACAAAAAGAGCTGCCAGAATGGCACCCAAGGCGGCGCCTATGAACCAGCTCATCATCAAATTGTGGGTATTATTGTTGTTGAGGAACTTGCCAGCAGGAGTGTCGAAGATGGACCAGGCCAGGCGCATGCCACAGCCCACAAAGATAATAGAAGCTGATTGGGAAAATTATATTATAGACTTCCTAATTTATTGAAATTTTTTAAAATTATTACCTGAAGCCATTGACTGAAACTGCAGGCGATATCGCCACATGAGACGCAGCCAGGACAGCTTTCCCTCCTCCTCGATCGTTGGCAACATGTTGGGCATTCTGTGGCCTAAATCACCGCTAGCACACTTAAGTTCTTTGGTCTTAACAATTGAGCTGGTTATGCCGTTTCCGTTTATAATTTGTTGATTGTTTACTTGACACTTTTTTCATTGGAAACGCCGCCTTGTTGTTTGTCTACTCGAGTTTGTCATTATTTTTGCACTTTCTGTCACCGATCCGATACTCGTCGTTCCGGGCCATAAATTTCGCACTTGCCGGACCGCCAACCGACCGCCGCGACGCCTTTTGATAAATGGCGAGCATCGGGCGGTTATTGAGCGAGCGAGCCGCTCGCCAGCGGTTCCAGAGATAAGATAAAGAAACCTTTTTTCTGTCAGCCACTTATCAGCCTGATTAGTGGATATAAATAAATTAATTAAATTTGAATATATATGCGCAACCGATCACATGTATAAGTGGAACGTACTTATGCCTTTATGGCCCGGCCCAGAGTGGTGGACAGGTACATAATAAAGTTTATTGATGTGACGAGTAAAAGTTGAATAGCCAAGAGCTACTAGTGAACTAGTTTGTTTTTAGAAGTGTATCTTTAAATGTGATTTGAATTTAAAATACAATTTTAAAATATTTAAAAATACTGCTAAACTAGTTTGGGCCTGAAAATGTACCTTTTAATAATATTTAAATTTAAAAAAAAATTTAAAATACTGAAAAATAATTAAATTTAAATTTTAAAAAATATTTAAAATAATTAAAAATACTGCTAAAGTTATTTGTGCCTGAAAATGTATCTTTTTATGAAATTGAAATTTAAAATACTAAATAGTTTTTATACCCTTGCAGGGTATTATAATTTTAGTCAAAAGTGTGTTACATAGTGAAGAAGTCGTTTCCGACCCCATAAATCATATATATTCTTGATCAGCACAAAAAGCAGAGTCGATCTAGCCATGTTTAGCCGAAAATAAAAAAAAAAAATTTTTTTTTTAATTTTTGAGGTCCTAAAATTGTTGCAATTGTCAAATAAAAATTGGAAAAATTTTCAATTTCTTAAAATGTGAAATTTAGTATGCAGTTTCGTTACCCTACAAAAAACTAGCACAGAAAAGCTTTCCGAATTGAATTTGATGCTTTTTTGGCTTAGTTATCGGTTTTTGATTAGATGACAGATCCTATGGCAAACAGCAAGGGTATACAAATTTCGGCTTCCCGAAATTAGTTTCCTTTCTTGTTAGTTGTTTAGTTTAGTTAGTTGTAGTTTTTAGCTGAAATTGTTTCTTTTAATTAAATTAAAAATTAAATTTCAAATAAAATATAAAAATACTTTTTAGGGTTTATTTAATATGTTTATTTCATATTAATATCTTAATTTTCTTATAAAGTTTATATTTTTTTAATATTCCCTCAATTTTTGCAGTCATGAATTAAGTCTTTATATCTTTTATAGACTAAATATAAAATTTAAAATAATTTTATACATTAATAAGCTTTAGTTATTTATAAGCTAATCACTCAGTTTTATAGCCAGAACCACCCCGAGGTAGTAGTTCCCATTTTAAAATACTTTTTCTTTACTATATAAAGTCCATCAAACATTTATGATCTCTCGAGTATATCTTATCGTAGTTGTATGGGAACCGACTTGATTGGTCTTTGGCCATATAACTTTTACCATTTAATCACTATATATATACCTCTATATATACCTCTATATATCCCTGGTGTTCCCCGAAGTCTAATTGCTCCTCATGCTGATCCGCACAATCGCGAGAGAATTCAAATCTCGACAGTCACTTCTCCGGCGATAAGACAACGGCAAACACGCAGCACTGCTCCCTATAAAGATTTCCGATTTATTCCCTAGCTATATCTAGGGGCTAGTCTTGTTTGTTGTGGCCTACTTTTAGGATGGCGGGATCACAAACTCCTGAAACCGAAACTGCGCCTGCAACAGCGTAGTGTCCTTGGTCTCTGGCATAAACCAGACGCTGCCCAGGAAGCTGGCCAGCAGGAGACTTCCCATGGTAAAGAAGAACATCTCCACACAGTCGCTGCCCACGGCTGTGGCGCTGAGATCGACTTGGAGGATCATCACCTGGACAATCATCTCCAGGACATAGGCCAGGGCTATGCACTGCCTCTTGAAGCGGCGGGGAAAGGCCTCCGAAAGATACGCCGAGCTGGGGGCAAATCCTATGCCCGCAAACAACTGGAAGATGAGCAGGAGCCACAGGGCCATCCGCATGTCCCCGAAGCGAAGCAGCTTGGCACCAGCAAACCTGCTGGCCAGGCCGAAGGACAGGCCTCCACAGATTACCAGCCCCAGGAGCAAGGGTATTTTTCTGCCCAGTGAGTCCAGGGCAAAAGCACAGCTAAAACTGCCCATGAGTCGCAGGAAACCGAAGAGGACATATGGTCCTGAGTTATCCCTGTAGACCATGTTGCTGGTGATAATCAGAGTGTAGGCCACCAGCATGCTGCAGCTCATCGCGTTCATGGCTCGCAGTGCCGCCAGCCGGAAGAAGGCCGGGCAGGCCTTTCGCCAGCTCAGAGATCTATGGTGGGCCAGGTAGGTGCGATGATCGCTCACCTGGTCGTACGTCTCCGCCGTCACTGCCCGGGGTCTCTGCAGCCGGCTCAGCGCCTCGATGGCTGCCTGCTCATCGCCCTGCTCCAGCAGATCCACCGGTGACTCGATGGAGAGCAGAGTGGACATGACCAAAGCCAGGACACCTAAGACTGCACTGATTGCTCCCTGGAACTGCTCCTCCGTGAAGTCGCCTTCCGTGTCCCAGCTGGCACTGCACACAATTTGCACAAAGATTCCAATATTCACAGGCCACTGTTCCGCCGCCGAGGTGGTGGTTCCTCTCTTGTAGAAAACGGAGAGCTCACCAGCCATGGCCAGGGTGGGGGCTATGGCCAGGCCATTGGCAAAACCATTCAGATATCTTGCAGCCAGCAAGGCATTGAGGTTTAGCTTGATGGCAGCCATCACAACTCCTCCGATCAGGACAAGCAGGGAGCAGAATTGCTGGAGGAGATGAAGGAATATAATTATTATATATATTTAATAAGATTTATATTTTAAAATTAAGAGAAATAAGTCCAGAACAATGATCTCTATATTTCCACAATTATTTCTCTGAATAAATTAGTAAAATTAGTAGAAATATGAACTAAATACTACTTCACTTCTATTCATATCTTTAAAATTAAAAATTTGTTTTCTTCTCACCATTAACAATTTATATGAATATTTCTGACTGAAGAATCCACCCAAAAGGGCCCCAAAAATGGCGGCTAAAAACCAGCAAATACGCAAATGATTGTTAACTTCCAGTTCGGCAAACAAGGTGTCAAAGCCAATGCTCCAGGCTATATGAAGACCTCCGGACAGAAAGATAAGTGCCGCTGTAGAAAACAAAAAAATTAAAAATTAAAATTATTATTTATCAAGTATTTGCCATAATAAACAAAATACTTATCTCAAAGCTTGTTATTTGTTAATAGATAAGATTTGTAGTGACAACTTGTAGAACGTTTTTAATTCAATGCTTAAGGTATTGGCAGGTCAAGGCACCTAGACTTTATAGTTTAACCTTATACCAAGGACTTTTAAATATTAATTAGAAAAGATTTTCCTTGGGTAAAAATTGAGAAATCTAAATTACCAAAAATTGTGATAAAAAAACGTCACGATGACAGTTTTTTGGCAGGTGTTGGGTCATATCACCATATCGTTTTGATATTATCAAATTTTAGATTATAAATATTACTACGGCACAACAAGAAGTGATTCATTTCCATGAGGGAGTTTCTTAAAGGCAAGAAAATAATAAGCATTTCCGGCTTTTAGTCAAAATATCAAAGTAATTTTTAATGCTTTTCTAGCCTTGTCAAAAAAAGTCTGAATAATGTCAAGTTAAGCATTTAAATATTGATCATTTATAAAGATTTCCAATAACTAAATTACAAGTTCTACTTTAGTAGTTTTGCCAAATCTTACCTGCTCCTACTGCATTTGCCTGGGGCTGATTCCGCAGATCTCGATTGCAGCAGGGACTCCTCTGGCTGCTCTGCAGGATCAGCTCCCGCTGCTGGCCACCGGCACTGTCAATGGGAATGGCCTGGAAACCATCGTTGGGCGAAGGTCTGGGATCGGTGTCGGGCATCGGGCACCCTCTGTGGTCGAACTGTCGAACAAGACTACACATTTTTGGGTTTTGGTTTTGGGTGCTTGAACAGGTTCGATTGGAACTCTATCTATATCTATCGCCGACCTGCTTATCTTATCGCTTATTGATTGATAAATAAGAGCTTAGGTGTGTGCGCTATATGTTGGATTTTCCTATCTCGGAAACGTAGTGCCTGAGAGCCGAGCATGTGTTCTAGCAGGGATTTGGTGCAGGTACGAGGTAGGTCTACCGAAAAGGTACTTTCTTTTACTCACTCTCTCTCTCTCGGGGTTTAAAACTCTCCTCTTTTCTTGTTGACAGTTTATATATGTTATCAATAGCCGAAAAAACAACAACTGAAAAATACAAAGCGACGAGTACTTGTGTCGAGTTATAACAACTTTTATTATCTCCAATTTCCAATCTCTGATTAATCACAGAACAACAAAACCTAGGAGCTCGTGGTGAAGAACCTGCTGAACTTGTCCTGGGCCTCTCGCAAGTTGGTCCCCCTGGTCTCCGGCAGGCAGAAAATCACAAGGAAAAAACCAAATGCATAGAGTCCTCCCAAGGCGTACATGTATTCAGCTCCAGCAATGACACCCCAATCGATCATTCCAATTATAATGAAGACCAGCATCTCCGCAACGAAGGTAAAAGCTATAAAATGCTGCTTCACCCCCAAAGGATAGGCCTCGGCCAGGTAAGGAGACGTGGAGGTGAAGGCTATACCAGCGAAGAGCTCAGAGAACAGCGTCATGATGGCAATTCCGGTCCACATGTTATAGAAATTGTACTGAGCGGCAATCACGAAGGCCAGGACACTGCAGACCAAGAGCCCTAGGATGGTGGGCTTCTTGCGACCCGCCCACTCCATGCTGAAGGTGGCAATGAAGTTGCCCATCCACCGACAGATCCCAAAGCCAATGAGCCACTCCCAGGTGCCCTCCAGGCTATACCAGCTGGCGTAGGAGGAGCCCAGGGTCAAGTACAGGAACATGTTGAGGCTCAGGACATTCATACCTCGGAGGAACACCAGCCGGATGAAGGTGGGGATGGCCTGGCAAATGCTTTGGCCCATCGAGAGGTCCTTGTTGTGAGCCAGGTACCGCTTGTGCTCCGCCAGCTGCTCGAAGGTCTCGTTGGTCACGGTGTAAGGTCTCTGCAGGCGCCTCAAAGCATCGATGGCTCCCTGTTCATCGTTCTTCTTGGCCAGCATTATCACCGGAGATTCGATGCATAGCAGTGAGCCAATTAGCAAGGCAAGCAGTCCGTACACGGCGCTCAGGACTCCCCTCATGTTCTCCGGCGAGAAGGAGTTCTTCGAGGGATACGTTTCAGAGGTCCAAGTGGAGACGTACAAGATCTGCACAAAGATGCCCAGGCCCAAGCACATCTGCTCAATGCTGGCCGTGATGAGGCCGCGCATGTAGGGCACCGAGACCTCTCCAGCGAGGGCCATGAACGGGGCAAACACCAGGCCATTGGCTATCCCATCCAGGTAGGATCCTGCCAAGCTGGCTGAGCCATTGTTCTTGGTAGAGGCAATCACTATGCCGCCAATCATTACCAGAGTGGAGCTAAAGATCTTTGGGGAATGGAAAAAAATTAATTATAATAAGTGTAAAAAAATTTTTGGACTTACCAGGACATGCTTCTTGGCCACTTTGTTGGCGAGAAAGCAGCTGAGTACAGCTCCAATGATGCCGCCAATGAACCAGGCCAAGAAATTATGTTTGGTGGTGGCATAAAACAGGGTTCCATGGAAGCCAATGCTCCACGCAATGTTCATGCCTCCAGATAAAAAAATTAGAGCCGCTAAAGATTGGGTTTAATAATTTTAAAGGATTATTAGGAGGGGTTGGAGAGAGATTCGTTAGAGAAGGTAATTAAATGGATAGATCGATAGAGAGATAGAGATAGGTAGATAAATAGATAGATAGACGATAGAACATCGATCTACCCTGTAAATGATTTTGTTCTTAAGATTTTTAATTTCATAGATGATGTAATTGTATTTACTTATTAAGCTCTTTATATATAATTTTCTTCTATCGACCCTGACTCACCTCCGCCCACAGCATAAGATTGTGGCTTGTTCTTCTGATTACGACTGTACCAGCTGCCATTCACCGCCATATTCACGGTCTGCTGTGAGGGATACGATGGTGGTGGTGGCGGTGGTCCTCCATAGCCAGTTGTTGATCCATAGTACTGAGGCGGATAACCCTGTTGTGGATTGTATCCCTGATGTGGTGGATATTCCTGCTGTGGTGGATAACCCTGCTGTGGGGGATATCCCTGCTGCTGTGGTGGCGGATACCACGAATAACCTGGCTGCTGGCTATGTGGCCAGACCCCAGAAAGTCCTGGCTGAGGATAGCCTGTCTGAGGAAATCCCAACGGTGGTGGAGCACTAGCAAAACCCATTGGCGGGGGCTCTGGTGCTGTGAACTTGTCGTTTCCCATTTCGTCTCGGTTTTCCTCGTTGCTTTTTCAGAAGGCAACCAACCTCGCGTATGAGCAATGTGCAACTGACTGACGGATGGTCTGGGCCAATGATTATAGCCATTTGGCAATGCGACCAAAAATAATAGTTAAACAAGGGCCAAGGCTTATTGGCACGACATTGATAAGAGCGGCAAATGGTCAGTGATAAGCACGAGGACGCTGGTCTACCGAAAAGGTACTTTCTCTTACACTCTCTCTATCTCGTGTCTTTCCTTTACTGGAAAACAATGTTTTCACTTTTCACTCTAAGGAAACTGTCAACAAAGCAATCGGTTGACAGTTTATAAATGTTGTCAATAGTAAAAAAAAACAAGAAAGGAAGCTAACTTCGGCACGCCGAAGTTTGTATACCCTTGCAGATTGGTTTTAATATTTATGTCATAAATTATAATGCCGAAAACAGACACTAAACTGAGTTACATACCATTTTACCTATACTTATTATGTTTACAGTTTGACAGTTACAGTTATACATTCCCAGCATTACATTTTCTCTACATCTGCGGATCGCTTCTATATGATATAGTTGTCCGACTTTCATAAAATGTATACCAAAATTCTATAATAATAAGTAAAGCTCATATCTCAGAGTAGATGAAAATACGTTGAAAAACAACGAAGTTATAATTTTTTCTATTACTTTCCCTATCGTTCCTATGGCAGCTATAAGATATAGTCGTCCGATTTTCATAAAATTTTTACCAAAATTTTGAAATAATACCAGAAGCTCATGTTTCAAATTAGATTAAAATACGTTGAAAAACAACGAAGTTATAATTTTTTTGATTAATTCCCCGATCGTTCCTATGGCAGCTATAAGATATAGTGGTCCGATTTTCATAAAATTTTTACCAAAATTCTGGAATAATATAAAAAGGCTATATCTCAAAAATGATGGAATAATATTGAAAAACAGCCAAGTTAAAATTTTTTTCTAAAAATTTATCGAACATTTGTATGGCAGCTATATGATATAGTCGTCCGATCCGGCCCGTTCCGACATATATAGCAGTGAGAGTATATAGAAGACTACATGCAAAGTTTCATTCAGATAGCTTTAAAACTGAGGGACTAGTTTGCGTAGAAACGGACAGACGGACGGACAGACGGACAGACGGACATGGCTAGATCGACTCGGCTGTTGATGCTGATCAAGAATATATATACTTTATAGGGTCGGAAACGTCTCCTTCACTGCGTTGCAAACTTCTGACTGAAATTATAATACCCTGCAAGGGTATAAAAACACAACTAAAACAGAAAAATACAACGCGGCAAGTGCTTGTGTTGAATTATAAATACTTTTATTATCTCCAATTTCCAATCTCTAATTAATCACATAACAAAACCTAGAAGCCCATGTTGAAGAATCTGCTGAACTTTTCCTGAGCCTCTCGCAAATTGGTCCTTCTCGTCTCCGGCAGGCAGAGGATCACAAAGACAAAACCAAATACATAGAGTGCTCCCACGGCGTACATGTATTCAGCTCCAACTGTGGTACCCCAATCGATCATTCTAATAATAATGAAAACCAGCATCTCCGCCACGAAGGTAAATGCTATAAAATGCTGCTTCACACCCAAAGGATAGGCCTCGGACAGGTAAGGAGACGTGGAGGTGAAGGCTATTCCTGCGAAGAACTCAAATACCAGCGTCATGATGGCATTTCCGATGTTGTACTCGTATCTGTAGATATTATACTGACCGGCAATCACAAAGGCCAGTACACCGCAGACCAAGAGTCCCAGGATGGTGGGCTTCTTGCGACCCGCCGACTCCATGCTGAAGGTGGCAATGAAGTTGCCCATCCACCGACAGATCCCAAAGCCACAGAGCCACGCCCAGGAGTCACTCAGGCCATACCCGTTGGAGTAGGAGTAGACCAGGGTCAAGTACATGAGCTGGTTGATGCTCAGGACATTCATACCTCGGAGGATCACCAGCCGGATGAAGGTGGGGATGGCCTGGCAAATGCTTTGGCCCATCGAGAGGTCCTTGTTGTGAGCCAGGTACCGCTTGTGCTCCGCCAGCTGCTCGAAGGTCTCGTTGGTCACGGTGTAAGGTCTCTGCAGGCGCCTCAAAGCATCGATGGCTCCCTGCTCATCGTTCTTCTTGGCCAGCATTATCACCGGAGATTCGATGCATAGCAGCGAGCCAATTAGCAAGGCAAGCAGTCCGTAGACTGCGCTCAGGACTCCCCTCATGTTCTCCGGCGAGAAGGAGTTCTTCAAGGGATACGCTTCATAGGTCCAAGCGGAGATGTACACGATCTGCACAAAGATGCCCAGGCCGAAGCACATCTGCTCAATGCTAGCCGTGATGAGTCCGCGCATGTAGGGCACCGAGACCTCTCCAGCCAGGGCTAAAAACGGGGCAAATACCAGTCCATTGGCTATCCCATCCAGGTAGGATCCTGCCAAGCTGGCTGAGCCATTGTTCCTGGTAGAGGCAATCACTATGCCGCCAATCATCACCAGGGTGGAGCTGAAGATCTGTGGAAAATGGTTTAAAATTAGTTCAAATATTTATTTAAAAATAATTTAAATTGAATTTATTATTATAATATAAGGACTAACCAGGACATGCTTCTTGGCCACTTTGTTGGTGAGAAAACAGCTAAGCACAGCTCCAATGATGCCGCCAATAAACCAGGCCAAGAAATTATGCTTGGTGGTGGTATAAAACAGGGTTCCATGGAAGCCAATGCTCCACGCAATGTTCATGCCTCCAGACACGAAAATGAGAGCCGCTAAGGATTGGGTTTAATAATTGTAAAAGATTATTAGGAGGGGTGAGAGAGATTTGTTACAGAAGGTAGAAGATTGATAGAAATATAGATGGATCAGTAGATCAGTAGATAGATAAATAGATAGACAGATAGATCGATAGATATATCGATTGACAGATAGGTAGAAAAATAGATAGATAGAAGATAGAACATCAATCTACCCTGTAAATGATTTTGTTATATATATTTTTGTAGTATCGACTCTGACTCACCTCCGCCCACAGCATTTGATTGTGGCTTGTTCTTCTGATTACGACTGTACCACCCGCCATTCACCGTCACATTCACGGTCTGCTGTGAGGGATACGATGGTGGTGGTGGCGGTGGTCCTCCATAGCCAGTTGATGATCCATAGTACTGAGGGGGATAACTTTGTTGTGGATTATATCCCTGATGTGGTGGATATTCCTGCTGTGGTAGATATCCCCCCTGCTGTGGTGGATAACCCTGCTGTGAGGGAAATCCCTGCTGCTGTGGTGGCGGATAACCTGAATAACCTGGCTGCTGGCTATGTGGCGAGGCCCAAGAAAGTCCTGGCTGAGGATAACTTGGCTGAGGAAATCCCAGTGGTGGTGGAGCACTGGCAAAGCCCATTGGCGGAGGCTCCGGTGCTGTGAACTTGTCGTTTCCCATTTCGTCGTAGTTTTCCTTGTTGCTCTTCCAGAGGGCAACCAACCCCGCGTATGAGCAATGTGCAACTGGTTGACGGATGGTCGGGGCCAATGATTATAAGCATTTGGCAATGCGACCAAAAATGATAATTGAACAGGGGCCAAGGCTTATCGGCACCACACTGATAAGAGCAGCAAATGGCCAGCGATAAGCACGAGGATCCTTATCTTAATGTGTTTGTTGAATTATATACAATGCTATACCCTCTAGGGGGGATGAATATAAAGGTGTTTCGGTTAATATCTGATCGCTAGAGTTTAGATAACACCTGTTTAATAATACTATAAGAAGAATTACTATGTGAAAATATAGAGAATCGCAATAAGTTTAAAATTAAACTAGTTTTATCTCTACATTTTGATTTAGAAACGTGACTTTTTTTTAATTTACAGGGGGGTTCCCTCTTATCTTATCTTATCTTAAACTACGTTTTAAAAGTGCAATAAAACGTATACATTTTTGTTAAATTGAGTTAAATAGAGTGAATTATAAACACACCCCTTTCCAAGGGCCTTCACAACGGTGGCTAAAAGTTTTCCTTATTAATCAGAAGCCTTGAGTCATTGACATTATTTATGGCAATTGTAAAGTTTTGAAAACTTTGATTAAAGTTTACACGGGTCTTGGGTTATTTAACTTTTTAAAGAATATTCTTTTAGGAAGGAAAATTGATTGGCAGAATATTTATTTATTTAATAATTAAATATTATATTTATTAAGCGATAAATAAACCTGAAACCTATTAAGTAATATTTTTTTCGATTTATGAATAACTAGATAAGGATCCTTTATATCAGCTAAGGTAATTCCCCTTTTGGTTTTTCCCAATTGACCCAAGTATTGGTCATTAAAAGTAATAACATTTCGTGGTGAAATTGGTCCTAAAAACCGAGTTCTTTAAAAATTAAACCACTTAAATTTTTGTTTGTTATTTGAAAGCTTTTTAAACACATTTTATTTTAAATTTGTTTCGCATTTATTTATAAGTTATAAATACTTTAATACACACAATTGTTGTCAATATTTTCCTCCATCAATACTTCTTTTGGCTTATTTAGGGATAAGCTGAAGTACCTTTAATTTCCGTAGATACAATTTTCACATTTTCCCTCAATTAAAAGCGCATATTAATGAATCGACTGAACTGCTCCTGGGCTCCCCGCATGGTCATCATTCGGGTTTCCGGGAAGGAAACGCAGCCCAGGATAAAGCCACCAATGTACATGCCACCCATAATGTAGAAGTAGTTGTATCCCTGCATCAGGTTGTAGTCGCACACCTGGATGATGAGGAAGACGAACATCTCCACGATAAAGGTGAAGGAGATAAAGTGCTGCTTGACACCCAAAGGATAGGCCTCCGCAATGTACGCGGAGCTGGGCGTGAAGGCGATGCCCGAGAAGAAGGCAAAGAACAGAATGAGGATGGTCACTCCACTCATGTAATTACCAAAACCGTACCGCCCTCCAATGCCAAAGGAAAGGCAGGCAGCAACGAGCAGGCCCACCACCATGGGCTTCTTCCTGCCCAGGCAGTCGGCGGTGAAGGCAGAGATCAGGGTGCCCAGCCAGCGGCAGAAGGCAAAGGCAATGTAGAAGCCCTGGGCGCTGCTCAGTCCATAGCTGAGGTAGATGGAGAGCATCAGCGTGATTATCACGAAGGAGGAGAGGCTCATGGCGTTGAGGGCTCGCAGATAGGCGAGTCTCAGGAACGTGGGCATCGCTTGACCAATGCTCTCCTTCAGAGTCATACTCTTGTTCTCCGCCAGATAGCGCTTGTGCTCCGCCAGCTGTTCGTAGGTCTCATCCGTCAACACGGCCGGCTTCTGCAGGCGCCGCAGGGCATCGATGGCCCCCGACTCGTCGTTGTTGGCCAACATTAGCACCGGTGACTCAATGGTCATAAAGGTGCCCAAAAGCAGGGCAAGGAATCCGTAGATGGTGCTCAGCACTCCCTTCATGTTCTCGGCCGTGAAGTCGTTGTACGTAGTGTAATAGCCGTAACTCCAGGAAGTGCTATAGACGATCTGCAGTAGAATGCCAATGCCATAGCAGAGCTGCTCCGTGCTGGTGGCATTAATGCCACGCTTATAGGCCACCGAAACTTCGGCGGCCAGAGCCATGAATGGAGCAAACACCAGGCCGTTGGCTATACCGTCCAAGTAGCAGGCAGCTACGGTTCCACTTCCATTCTGGTGGGTGCAGGCGATCACCAATCCACCGATTGTGACCAGAACCGAAGCGAATTGCTAAAAGAAGGGGAATAAAGGTTAGTAGGAGCCCTAGCAAGTGAGCAGAGAAATTCTTGCTTACCAGAACCATCTTCTTGGGCACCTTGTTGGTCAGCCCGCAGGTCACAAGAGCTCCAATGATGGCGCCAATGAACCAGGCTATAAAGTTGTGCTTAGACGTAAGATAGCCGATGGGTCCTCGGAAGCCAATTGCCCACGCTATGTTCATGCCTCCGGAGATGAAGATTAGACCAGCTGGGAATGGAAAAGGGAAGTTGAGGCTATGAAATCGATTGAAAATACCAGAATATATGACCCTTTGTCAACTAATAATTCATTTAAACGTTTAATCCGCTTCTTATAAGTATCTAAAAATATATTCTTATATTATTTTTTTAAGTGTTTTCTTGGTACTCTACCCTGTATCTAAGCTAGAACCCGTTGGGAATTCTAAGCATCGATGCGAGGGAAAAAACAAACCTCGATAATCGGCAATAGTTCTTTTTGTTGTTTTTATTCCAGTCGCTTTTTTATTTTATTTATTCATTGTTGTCCTTTTATTTTTATATTTATAAAATGTAATTTTTTTGTTTATTATATTAATTAATTTATTTTTTTTTTTTTTTTTGTTAGAAGCTTACGTCACTGTCCCTAATCTACTGATATTCCTGGAATATCAGAGCGTTTTCGGGCAGACCAGATAAGATTATCATCATGGTCTTTTTTGACGAGTTACTAGCTTACTGAATGCCAAAAGTCAACTCACCTGAGCCTATGGCATTCGCCTGAGGCTTGTTCTTTTGGTTGTAAGAGCAACATCCTCCGCGAGGAGGCTCCACTCGAGTGGGAGGATCCCGCGGAGGCTGCGCTGGTGGCGGAGGAGGTCCTCCATATGTGTGTGCAGGAGTCATCTGTGGTTGTCCATAGTTCTGGGCTGGATATCCTGGCTGTGGGTATCCTGGTTGTGGGTATCCTGGCTGCTGGGGTGGTGCTGTGAAAACCACCTGCTGCGGGCCTCCAAACTTGTCGTTCTGCATTCTATTCTTTTCACTCTTTTACCGAAGCGAACCGTCTTCGCAAGAGGTCGATTTATAACTGGGCACTGGATCCGCAGGCCGAATGATTTTTATATTTTCACCGAGATCGGGCCTGGCCAACTGATACTGGAGTGTGGAGAGCTTATCGCAGGTGCCAGGCATTGATTAGAGGGGACAGGCTACATAGTAACGAGTGCGAGCGCCCGATAAGGACTCTTATCGCAATGTTTGTGAATAATGGTAAGCCGTATGGTATATGGGGTGGGAGTATATACAACCCACTTGGGATCACAGCGAGTCTGATTTGGCATAGAAGTGTGCCTGTCAGCCGGAGATGTGGGTACTTTCCCCCGTAATGAGTGGACACCTGTGCCAAGGTCCATGACAGAGGATGAATCATACTCCATAAATGATTCTTGGAAATATATTATAGCTAAATAACTTGGTTTATGGCTTTTTATTGCTCGTTACTTGGAGTAAAATTGCTCAACAAACAATTTTAATTTTCTAGCAAAAAAGATATTGCCAATTAATCTGAAGAATGGGGCACCCCCTGAATTTTTAAAAAGCCTTTAACTTGTTTGAGGTTAAAATCTGAATCATAAAATGTTTATCGTTTTTATTATAGTATTTCCGGGAAGTGGATGATTACTGTTTTGTCTTTAAATAAATGGTATCACTGGCGATCTAAGGAAAAGGCAACTGAAATAAAACAATCATCAATCATTTTAAAACAGTTAAATTAAGAATAACCTTTTGTTAACTTTATAATTAGTCATAAATTGCCTTCTCTATAATGTATTTAATATATTTTATATTCAATAAAACATCATTACCATGTAGCATACAGGGAATTTTATTTATTTCAATTTCCATTATATATTTCATGAAACTGTTTAATATAAATTACAAAACTTGAAATATATCTTTAAAACTTCATTTACTTATTTTTTCGACCTGGATTTTCGGTTATTAACCTTTGGCCCGTCCTTGGAAGGATAAAAGAAAGCATACAGTGTGGAGCCCAGCATCATTACATTATAACAAAAGTCCTGTCATGACAAGGAAAACATATAAATAGATATTATACTTTAGAATTATTTATTAAAAGATTGAAATTAACACCGTTACCAATATGTTTTTCTTGTTCTTTATTATAAAGTTGCAGGCTGCTCCAATAACTCCAACAATAAACCAGAAAACAGCTATGGCTAAAAGCAAATAAATCAATTTTTTGTCATTAGAGAAATGTTATAAAAATATTCTAGGAATTTTTTTCGATTCCGATAAGATAATCTCACCTGATTCCCACGCACTTGACTGCAATTTGTTACCCCTGATGCCTTTGGCTTTGTCATCCCACGTGGACCTGGTCTTCTTGTTAATTTGACTCATTTTCTGTGGCTAAAGAACACCTTTCAGGGCTTTGTTCAAATTAAAACTGAATTCCTAGAGGTTGTGACAATATTTGTACTCAATATTAGCTTATTTTATGGCCAGTAGTTGACCATTATCGTGGCGTTTTAGATAGAGAAACATAAGTGGCTCGGGGAATACATGCAAAAAAATCTTTTTAGATTTGCAATTTTATAAATTTTTGCACTTATATTAATTTAAACGTAAATTTTGTTTAATATTTTTAATAAATTGGGGGTATTTGGAAACGTTTATTTAAGTATTTTAATATATAAATAATATTTTAAATACTTTTCATATATTTTCTATTTTAAAAAGTTTTTTTTTTATATTTAAATTTCTTTTCTTTTGATTTATTAAAGATTTTTGAAAGGGTATTCCCAACTTCAGCGTATAAAAAAGTTAGATTTTTTCAAAGCCTCTGTTATCACTGTTTACTTTTCTATAATTTCAATTGCAAAAAGGGGATTTCCCCTTATAAAAACACCTACTATCCACCGTTACCCACAGCACTGACCCCATAAGCTTCGATTAGTTCACTGTCATCATATTTATTTATATTTATTAAACACTCAAAAGTCCTTGTTGAACCACTTGGCAAACTTTTGCTGCGCCTCCGCCAGAGTGACGAGTCTCGTCTCCGGCAGACAGAAGATTCCCAGGAGAAAAAACACCATGGACAGGGAGCCCAACACCTGAAAGTAGGTCGCAATCCCCTCCAGAGAAGGAGCAAAACTGCAGAGTAGCAGTCGCGTGATCAACTCCATCACATAGACCACAGCCACCAGGTGTGGCTTCACCGCCAAAGGAAATCCCTCCGTAAGGTACACAGCCGAGGCACACTGACCCAATCCCGCAAAGAACTGCAGACTCAGTAGCACCACCAGAGCGGTGATCATGTGCGGAGTTCGTCCAAACAAATTAGCAAAGGCAAAGGCAAAGGAGCCCGTAGAGAAGGTGCCAAAGAGAGTGGGTTTCTTGCGCCCAGTAGTGTCCATGAGGAGCACCACACAGAAGCAGCCACACCAACGCAGGACCCCAAATACCACATACGGCCAGGCCTGAAAGCTGCTCACCAGCTGGCTGGCCGTCTCGAAGAGAGCACTCCAAATGACCAGATTGAGGCACAGGGAACCCAGCAGCCGGTGGGCCAGGATCTTGAGCAGCGGCGGCAGTCCCTTCTGCAGGCTCAGCCACCAGCACATCTCTCGACTGGCGGCCACATACAGTTTGTGCTCGTCCAGCCGTAGAAGGGTCTCGCTGGTTACCATATAGGGACGCTGCAGGTGTCGCAACGCCACCACCGCCCGCTGCTCGTTGGAGCGCATCAGCAGGTGCACCGGTGACTCCACACACAAGGTCAAGGCCAAGGCCAGGGCTATCACGCCATAGATAATGGAGAGCACGCCGTGCACCTGATCGGCCACAATGGCCACGTTCCACTCTGTACGCCACACGGCCGTGTAGATAAGCTGCATCAGGATGCCCGTGTTGGTGGCCAGCTGCTCCACCGTGGAGGCCAGCAAACCACGGATGCCATTGACCGCGATCTCACCCACAGTGCTGAGGGCTGGGACAAAGACCAGGCCATTGGCCAGACCATCCAGATACCGGGCGGCGATCACAGCGGAAGAGCTCTCGGGCCAGGCCAGAAACAGGATGCCAGAGGCTATCACCAGGCAAGAGCCGAGGATCTGTTAGGTATTTATTTTATTTGAAATATTTCTGGATATAGGAGTAAACCTACTCACATATATCGGCTTCTGGGGCAGTCGGTGGGTGCAAAAAGCCCCGAAAATGGCTCCCAGAGTGGCGGTGGCATACCAGGCCACCTGCATGTGCACCGTAAGCAGGAGTTGATCACGATGAGCGGAATGCACGGCGAATCCTGCGCCCCAGGCCAGGCTCATGCCGCCGGAGATGAGGACAAAGGAGGCAGAGCCCAAAGCATTCCACTGCGAGTGATTTTTGTGGCCCAAACGGAGGAAGGTGACCACTGGCGGTGGCGGTGAAGAACTGGCAAGCGAATCCTGCGCCGGCGACTGGCTCTTTTTCGCCGACATTTCGGATCCGTTTACGCGGCGGCCGACCCAATCACCTCTATTTATAAGTCGCCGCCAGGGGATCAACGTTTTATCAGCTTATCAGCCCCTGCATATCCATAACCATAACGGAGGCAATTGCTCTGGCAGGGGCCATAAAGTCATCGACAGTAGCAGGCAGGCATCAATCGGGACAGGGAAAATCAATATGCTCACTCCCCCATTTAATTAACACTACTTTCACGGGCATAAATCATATCCGGAGGGGGTTCTGGCGATAGCTAATCAATGTTTTGGTTCCTGGGAAGGCTACCTGTCCGATTGCGGCTCAGATTGCACACGTGGCGATAGCTGGAAGCGACTTTCAGGGGGTTTTGTTGTAAATTTCTATGTTTTTAAATTCAAAAGAAATTTAATTAATTTTTGTTAAGCGGAAATTATGTAATTATTAAAATTTTTAACGCTTAAAGCATTAACCTGATTAATGACATATTTTTTGTGGCTCAAGTAAATGAGTTTTTTTAGCTTAACAAAAAGAGTAAATATAAATGTACTAAATTTTTTATAAAATAATATTTTAAATAATTCCTTAACTCTATTTAATTAAAAAATAAATTGATCAAGTTAATAGTCAGCCACAGAAAAAAAATTTTAATTTTAAATTTGAAAAAAATGTTGAAAATATTATTTATTTATTTTAAATTTAATATTATTTATTTAAAATTTTAAATTTGAAAAAATAAATTAGAAAATATTATTTATTTATTTAAATTTAATATTATTTATTTTAAATTTTAAATAAATAAATTATTATTTTTTGTATATTTTTTTTCTAAAATTTAAAATTTTAATTTTTTAATATTTGATTATTTTTTTTTTTTTTATTTAAAATAAAAAAATACATTTTCTTATTTTTTTTTTCATTTAAAATCTAAAATAAAACAACAAAATATAACCTTATTTTCATAACATTTCCCTCACTCGTAGTTTTACTTTAGCTTTTACATTTAACTTTTTACTGAAAATCCTACAAAAAATGGCACATTCAGCATAATGGACTTTGAAATAACAATAAAATGTAATTAAATTTGTTGTCAAGATTTTTATGCATAACTTTTTATGCTGTTCATTACTTTTTACAAGCTGTAGCTCTCAATCTGCGGTGGCTAAATATTTAAATTAAAATTCTGAACTTACCCAATGGAATCTCAAACGAAATCAGATCTCCGGCATCAATTTCCAGATACGTTTTGTGTGGCTAAACGAGAATTTCTGCCGACTGGCAAGAAAATGCAGGGGAAAAGCGGAAGGAAAATAGGGAAACCCCAAACCCAGAGCCTCTCGCTGGCCTCCCCTGTCTGGCACTGCATTGCGGCAGGCATATTAACTCCGGCCAGCAGATTAAACACGGCCAATATCATTGCATTTGCCGCCTGGTTTATGGGCTGAATAGCTGGCTGCGACTTTTCCAACCAGCGGATTTCCATTCCCGACTCCCAACTCCCGACTCGTCGTGAGTATGCCCAAAATACACGGCATTCGTTCACATAAGAAAAGTGGGGGGAAAATGGCGCTAAAACTTTTATCGCAGGTGCTTTCCCGGCCTTCCTGTGAGTTTCCCGGCCTAGCTGGGTATAGTTTTCAAACAGAACTTGCCGCCAAGTTGGCGATAGTGTTTGACTATGTGCGCACAAGCCGGGGTCCTGGGCGTTAAAATAAATTTAATTTTATCGCTACATAAATACAGGCTCTCGAGTTCTTGGAGTTACCCGAGTTTCCAGCACTTTGTTGGAGTTGTCCCTCAAGTGACACTTCCGTCCGGCCGGCAGGCCATAAATCCCCAAAGGAAGAGCGCTCTTTGAAGTATTTTCTATTTTCTATTTTTTATTTTCCACTTGGATCCTGTGCGCACCCACATATTAATTAGAGCCCGCCGCCACTTCGGCGATCATTTGAATGGCCAACACTTTTATGGCCACTCAGGCGAAAATATAAATAAATGTTATATTGATCTGATGCCGTTTTATGGCCCAACAAAACACAACACAGCACAACACACAGAGAGAGTCAGCTGAAATGGGCAATTTTCCATTTTTTCCCAAAGCATCTTCAAAGATTTACGAGCTTTGGGAGGCGGGAAAAAAAGTGGAGCCACAGCGAAAAGAGGAAATTGTTCAAACATGAACACGGTTTTAGATAAGAAGCATCTGTTAGCGATTAAGTCCCAGCAGCAGAGCACGGCCTAGCACTTGTATGTGCATATCTATCTATTAATACAACCGCCACTTGAGCCTATGTAACAAGTAACCCGAAATATGACCTCCTGTGAGCGGTCTGGGTTTGTTCAAGATATGCGCTATCGGGTTGCCTGTGTGCACCCTTATCTCACTTAAAATACTTCCCACGATCGGGAACTGTCCGATGCGTGGGTCTAGAACTAATATCTAAATGTACATTCTCATGTTAGCTATATAAGCTAGGGTTTGAATGGAATAAAATCAGTTTCTTACAAAAACTCAACACATGAAGACTTCTCATTTATTTGGGGTTTTCAGAAATGGAAACGAAAATTGTATAACATAAACTTGGCTAGAAACAAAAGGCCAAGTGGAAATTTCTCTCTATAAAATAAGGAAAGCGCAGACTGTGTCGCAGACATGTGAGTGTGTGTGTGGCAAGGAAATTTGCGGCGGCTGCTGTTCGTCATATTGCGCATACGCCGCGTGTGCATACGTAATTTAAAATGCATATTATGCCAGCAGCCCCATGATGCAGAGGATATATACACACACACACACACAAGACTTGGGCTCTTTCAATTAGGACAAAGTTGAGTGAATAAAATGCTCCAAGGAGGAAATGTTTTAGCCAAGGACAAGGCCTCACCTCAAGAGTCTCACGTGTTGCCAAGTTTTCGGCCAACTTTTCAGTCAATATTTCATCGTCAACTTTGACTCTGGGCCATCGATCGGGTGGTGGGACGACTCCCCTTCCTAAGGCTGCCATAAACAATAAATCCCAAGTTAATGTACTGAAATAATAGAGTTTTTCCTAGGCTCCCAGTAGTTTGTTTTTGGCCTGCGGAAATTATGTTTATGCAAATCCCAATAAAACGTCAAGAAAGTCGGGAAGTCGGGGTCCAAATTAATTTAGTGCGTGCCCTGGATGAGTCCTCGCACAAATCCTGATTAACTCTGGTTGCTCCTCTGAAAATAAAGAAGACAACAAATGTGCACTTTAGTCAGGAGCCAGAAAGACAAAACCAATTGTTACAGCGCACACACGCTCCGCTCTCGTATATTAATATATGGTGTCTATATATCCCGGCGAGTCCTTGTGTCGGTTAATGCAGGCTAATAAATTTCGGCGACATTTGTACCTTTTGTGGAGGCGTGGCATCACGGCACATTCTTCCATTGTTAACACGAGGCGGAGGCGTCACAAATTCCCAGCCTTTTTCCTTGCTGTGTCCTTCGCCTTCGTGAAACGTCAAAGATGCCTGAAAAATGGACACAATTCATTCGCAACAGCAGCCGGAGCTGGAAAATGGGAAAAGGAAAAGTGCGGAAAAATCCCAGAAGGGGAATAGCTGCAGCAGCTCCTGAAATTTAGTTGTTGGATCGCTCCGTTCAAGCAAGTGATTTGTTTTGCTTCGTTTGGCAACAAATCAGAAGATAAACGACATCGATTGCGGCAAAGGACATGGCCGTAGCAGCAGCAGCAGACCCAAAAAGGATTCGCCAGCCGCAAATTATGAGTCCTGACCGGGTACACATTTATATTATAGTATATATAATATGGTACACAAGTTGTGTGTATATAAATGGCACTCAATGCCCTGTATAAATACAATTTTAAGCCAAACTAAGCGCCACATTGTGTGCAATTAAAATTGCATTATGTGTGTAAACATTTTGGCAATTTTTGGCAATTTACTTTTTCGGAAATATGTGTGCAATTTTTGTTCTTTTTGTTGTACACCTGTCGCAAATTTTATTACTCTCCTGCCAGAAGCATTTAATTATATACACAGAACACATATAAAGGTTAAAGTTTTCACAAAAATAATTGAAAACGATTTGAGTTTAAATTATTCAGAGAGGAATAACATGAATATTTATTCATCGGGTCATTGGCACTTGCCTTTTGCAGAAATCTTTCTGTTTCTCGATTTATTTAAATTTAAATTTAAAGAACCTTTCCTCTAGGGATTTTCCTGCTGTAAAAGCAACTCATTTGCATAAGCAATAACAAAACTTTGGGCCATAAAGGTTGATAAACTTAACGCGAAATACAAAATGTAAATGAGTTGCCCGCTCATATATGGGTTATCTAATTAAATGTTATGTTTTCGTTGGAATACAAGACACTTACAATGTTAATTTAGCTGCTCGGCGGCGTATCTTAGTGGCCCGGATGGTTTACACTTTTAACGAGCCACTCAAACTTTAAGCCATGAAGAAAGTGTGTGTGCCAAGGATAATAACTTTTATCACACCTGCCATAAACCCGGCCCACACTAATGGCGCACATAAATCAATCATAATTGTCCTTGTTAACTGCAATCATGAATATTTCCTCGGCGTGTGCATAAAGCAAATGACAGTCATGCCATATACATAGCCATCGCACCGTCGCACATAACATAACTACACATCCCACAAACACCAAGGGCCCGGAATATCCTTTGCCAGGAATTTGAGGCACTGGGAACAATCGGGGGGCTAAAAATTATATGTGATAAATTGGTTTAGAAAAGAATTAAAAGGGATGAAAAATTGTAGGATGTTTCACAGATTATGGTTGAAATTATTATATATTATCTGCAATATATCTAAGCAAAATTTTATTTTAAAATATGGCAAAATATTTAAAGAATCCTTTAATAAATGTATTTAACACTATTTTTTATGAGATTAAAATCCTAAAAGTTCCTGATACTTATTTAAATATATTTAAAATTGTAAACTCTCAGGTTCTTTATTATTAATATTTCCAACGGATGGCTTTTATTTAACACA